GATTTAAACTATATTGCCCGCCTGTCCTGTGGGGTCATAGTGATTCAGCATAGGGGATCCAGTCATTCCAGGAACTTTTGATGTCATAATGTATGGATATAGTATATGTGCAGATTTAGCAATGTGGCCTTTTGTAATTGACAGATGGAAACCTTATCAATGCGCAGATTTTCTAAGTGCCATCCAGGTTGGGAGGGGGGAGAATGACATCCAGTGTGCCGATAACTAATGGGACCACCACATCTGATTTATGCTATCTTTCAGTTTTGATTTTCAGAGCTTGATACATGTTCTTCTCTAATTCTTTGTCTTCTCTTCTGCTTACTCCTGGGATTGCCACATCAATTAACCACACTTTCTTATTTTCAACCACAATTAAATCTGATGTGTTATGACCAAGATCATATCAGTTAGCTTTGGAAACCCCACAATATTTTAACTGCTCATTTTCTGCTTCTTTTTCAACTCTTATGTTCCCAGCAATTTTTCATTACTGGCACATGATAATTTTTAACTATGTTCCAGTGAATAATTTTGGCAATTATGTAATGTCATTGCTTATTATTACATGTTGCCTGACTCCAATTATTCTGGATAATTGCTAAGAATTTACATTCAAGTTCCATGGAAATTCCACAGAAAAAATAAAAAAAACTAAGTTTAAATTTTTTTAGTATGTAAAATGCAATTTTACCAAATTCACTGCTCTCCTTCTATGCTAAATTGCAGGTTTAAGCATTATGAATATGAACTTTATTTAAAAGATTATTGAATGTAGGATGGTTCGGCACAATGTATATCTATAATTCTTTTAAAAAAAGATTGCAATCCTTTTTCACAGAGAGCACAAAATGATACCACTATAAATATTCTTTAAATTGTGTATAAAGTATTGTCACCACAGAGAGGGTAAAATAATCTAGTCCTGTTTAGCGTTTGGATAGGATTCCATTAAGAATCCCAGGCCAAGGACTACATTGGGAAATCTTTAGAATATCAAGGAAGAAAGCAACCGGCATAGCTGTTCTGTTTTTACCGAGGAAACAACAAACTACATGCCCATTTCTCTAGGAATAAAGCTCAGCTTGAGGAATGATTTACTTTTTAGCCTTTTATGGAATGCACAAAATTGTCTGCACAGTTTGTCTTTCCCTCCACAAACCTGTTTGGTCCGAGACCTATTATTTTCTGGATAGTCCCTGGCCAGCAGAGAAGCTGGCTTTTTTGAGTGCCTAACAGTGGTCTGTGTTTCCACAAATAATTGTTTCAATCTGGTGTCCTGTGAAGAATTGTTCATTGTGACCCATACTGTTATCAGTCTTTCCTCTTGCTATAAAATTTGATCCAGTTCTCCATGTCTTTCATGACTGCTCAGGTGTTGCCAACTGCATTTCTAAGGGTCAGGGACAATGAAGCGAAGCTGATGTGATAACATTCTGGATATGCCAAGGAGTCGCCAAAGTGCATTCATGAATACTACATAAGACACATATATCTAAATTGATCCCCACTAATACAAATTTCATTTCTTTAATGCTGAATTCATTTCTTAAATGGCATATGTTCAGATGGCTTTGTCTTTTTATTTGGCCTACAGCAGTGGTGGCGAACCTATGGCACGGGTGCCAGAGGTGGCAGTCAGAACTTTCTCTGTGGGCACACGCGCTGTCACCCCAGTCCTAGGCCTTCAGCTGGGTTTTATAAAACCTTTTCGCTTTAGGCCTCCACCGCCATGTACAAAAAAAAAGATTCAATCAATCAGTCAATTTCAACTTCTCGCGGGGAAAAAAAAGATCTTGCAAAGTTGGAATTGATTGATTGAACTTTTTAGTCCCACCCAGTCTGCCGTTACCACCGCAGCCATGCCCACCCAATGGGTCACGCCCACCCAATTGGCGGCACCCACCCGATGGGCCACACTCACCTGGCACTCAACGATGCATAAGTGGGTTTTGGGTTGCAGTTTGGGCACTCAGTCTCTAAAAGGTTCGCCATCACTGCCTACAGCATATTTAGACAACAACAGCATTAATGATGATGATGATAATAATAATAATAATAATAATCATCATCATCATCATCCAATTATATTTTTCCCCAAATAAATCTTGCTTAAAAGTTGTCCAAATATATGATCTGTTCTATTTTAAAGTATATTTTATGTTGCGTATGCATCATGTTACAAATAAAATATTATCTTTGCCTTGAACAAGGTCAGACAATATCATTATTGTCTGTCATAGACAGATAACATAGTGCTATGACAGATGATTTGCTGTTTGGCCAATTACCTTTTTTGTGCCATAGCAGCTCCTGGGCCAGCTGCTGGGTCTTTTACTGTCCTCTTAATAGCTTATTTATCTTTTGTCTGATCAAGTAGTAGAAATAAATGGAAAAATGGACTAACTTGATTAGGAGAAAATTACTTTTTTATGTATGCCATGAAAAAGTAAAATATCGTATTTGACAGTACAGGTAATCCTAGATTTACAATAGTTCATTTAGTGACCGTTCAAAGTTACAAAGGCACTGAAATAAGTGACTTATGTCCATTTTTCACACTTAACGACCATCACAGCATCCTCATGGTCACAATTCATGATCAAAATTCAGACGCTTGGCAACTGACTCATATTTGCGATGGCTGCAGGATCCCGGAGTAATGTGATCTTCTGACAAAGTCAATGGGGAAGCCAGATTCACTTAACAACTTTATTACTAACTTAATAACTGCAGTGATTCACTTAACAACTGTAGCATGACAGGTTGTAAAATGGGGCAAAATTCACTTCACAACAGTCTCTCTTAGCAACAGAAATTTTTGGCTCAATTGTGATTGTAAGTCAAGGACTACCTATACTACATTTGCTTATTACTTAACAGATGAATTTTTCAAAAAGTGCATTTTATTTCTTCAACACACTTGATTCAGGGTGCTACACCCTCTATGATTTACATCATTCACATTATTTGATGTTACTCACATCATTGCATGAGTGTTACCTAGTTTGATTTAGCCCACAACATACTTGATTAGCTTCAAGTACAGTAAAATGATTTGTGTTGGGGAAAGGGATAGACACCAGACCAAGGATATTCAGGACCAAACTCTTGTTTTGCACTATTTAATATCTTTCAAGACTTTTTCAAGGAATTGCTATGGAAATAGTTTGTGGTAATAGGCGTGTAAATTGGTCTGAGAGTTGTGAATTAAAAACATTATGACTAGAAAACTGAAGACTTCACCTCAAAAAATGTGAAGGTTTCCCCTAGTCTGATTTTATTTTGGAAAAATTGAAACATGTTCTTATTAAATGATATAGAAAAGAATTAAGATGGAAAATAAATTGGAAATATACCAAATCAAGAAATTAATGCACAAATAAAGGAATAGAAAATTTGTTTCAATAAAGGCAAATATTTCATTTCTAACGACCATTAAAATAATATAAATGATATAAAGAAACTGCTGTACTTTTAGTTTCGGAAAATGAAATTGCTTAGATAGCTGAAAATTAATGCTTTCTCCTTCCTTCCTTCCTTCCTTCCTTCCTTCCTTCCTTCCTTCCTTCCTTCCTTCCTTCCTTCCTTCCTTCCTTCCTTCCTTCTTTTTATAGAGCCATCCATCTCAGATCAGTGACTTGGATAAAAACAAAATATAATGTTGGTTGTTTCTTATATTTGCAGTGATAATTTTGTGTCCATGTGTTAGCTTCTCTTAAAGAGGCAAAAATAAAGCTACATTCCTTAAATTTCATATTTCATCATAAAGCAATATCCCGAAGATACTATTTCTGATAAGTAATTAACAGTGTGTATTGTTTCCCTAATCACAATAAATTAAACCCTCTTTGGGAAACAAATAATATATAAAGACCTCCTATACACAATTCCCTGAAAAAATATTTCCCACTGAACTCAGGTTTAATTTTGAATGTACAGTATATTAGTTGATGAATTGGGTTTGATTTGGGAGGTCTTGGATTCAAATCTCATATTAGTTATAAAGACCTGTGGTGTGCTTTAAGCAACTAGCTGCCTAATTATTTAATTATCATAATTGGTAAGGACTAAATTCAGTAGCCATGTTTATACCACTTTGAGCTTCATGATAGAATGAAATAGAACTAACTAGAATTAACTACCTTTTAGTTAATATCAGTAGAAATATACTTTTGAGAGTTGAAACCCCTTCTTTATATATATATGATTTTGAAATCCTAATTTCCAGGTGCTTTAGAAAATGACAAAAAAGAAAATAATCCTTATAAGAACTAAAAGGAGTTTGGAGAGTGGGAGGGACTATCCTCAGAACTCCATAAGCCTAGTGATTGGAGGATTTGACATTTATGTTTGATGTGTTTTCCTTCATTGGGTTTAATATGGTGACATAGCAGCATGTTTTTACTTGGTAAAATAAAGATTGGTTGATTGACAGCTGCTAAGAAATGGGGCTTCCATCTATGTTAAGACATTTTAATTTCTGATCTTCAACTCAAGTGTTTCACAAGTTAGAGATAAGCCTTTACTTAGTGCCACAGCATCTGTTTCATTTGCAGAAAGCATTGGCTCTCCAAATAGGTCTTGGAAATGAAGAGCCTTGAACCCAGCAGAGCCTTGAGTTTATATATCATGTTATGCCTGATTTGGTTAACAATAGTAAACCACAATTAGCTAGATTTACTGAGTGTGTTAAACCGAAAAACAAACAAACAAACAAATTCATAAACTACAGTGGCTGGACTCAAACTAAATGTTACTAACATTGAACTGCATGGACCAGTGAGAATTTAAGGTAGCCTTATAGCAGTTGGCTACTATTGAATTATAATATGTAGTGAGAAGGCACCTATAGAGTGTATTACCTGAAATAATGGAGAATGTTCTATGGTATAAATTGACTTTCTTGGCAATTTCCTTCTCACTCTGGATTAAAAGAGCTCTTCAGATCGTAAATTTCGTGTTTGGTAGGACTCAACTAAGTGTGTTATCTTTTACAGCTCCCACCGTTCCTGTTTATCCTGCTGCAGCGCCCTGGTTAAGTCCAGCTATAATTATTGCTGCATGCTGTGCCATACCAGTGTTCCTCTTTCTAGTTTTCATCATTTGCTACAAAGCCATAAAAAGGTAAGACTGTGTTAGCTTCTTGAAACTTGATGCTACAAGATGAGCTGTTTCCTGAATATACCAGCATGGAGATACTGCACTGTGGCAGATAGTGCAGTTCTCTAAAAGGGATACCATAGTTACACACACTGGCTCTGCTACCATTTCTTTAACAATTTTCCCTTTCCTCTTCCCTTTTTTTTTTCCAGCTCATAAATCCTAGACATGTCTTGTTTTCAATAATTGAAAGATCAGAATAACCCTAATCACGCACAGAGCTATTGATTTCAGGAGGGCTTGAATATACAGGAGGATAGAATGAGAACACCTAGTCCCTAGGGAAGAAGCTGCAAGTTATTTGGGAGGAATGTACAGAACCAGAAGTGCCTCTGAGTGGTTGATGTGGCGGAAGGAGAAAAGCCACAGCATGGGCTGCTCCAGTGCAGTCCAGAGTTTATTACAGAATAGTGGAACAGTGTTATGTTACGAGAGCCCCAACATCACTGAAGTTGTAAAAGAACCAGGTACAGAGAAAAAGCCTTTCACTGAATTACAAAATTCTGCCTGCACCCTCTAGCTGAAAATCATATATTAGATCTTCATATGCATTTATTTTTTCCTACTTGCACACAAAATTAGCATGTCTGGGAGGTTCCGAACAAAGCATAATGTATGTATGTCTATCACTCAAAGCCTGCTGAAAGAAGTTAGGTTGTGGTTGCTTTTTTTGTTTTATTTTTGCCTGAGTAAAAAGAGCATTTCACTGTTCCACTAAATTCTTCCAATAAATGCTTGTTAAGCAGTTTCCTCTGGCTATTGCTATTGGCAATAGCTTCAATAGGTTGTATTAACTATTCGTGATTTTCAGAGAAGTAACATTTCTTCCAATTTGATCTTGTGTGCAACAGAATCAAATTGTAAAAATTGGAGGTGGTAGAATGGATTATAATGCTTCATCTTGCAGATATGGAATTAAATTTATCCATGTTCTTTTACATTAAACTTTCTTCTATTTACCAAATGCAGAGAAACTTCTGATTTTAGCTACATATTCTTTAAACAAACAAATGAATATATAGTTCAGTATTACTGTCTCAAAATCTGAAATTGTACTGTCTGTTTTCCCAGTTCAAGATTTTTTCACCTCATCCTGCTCTTACATACATCAATTATAAACACATATTAAACTTAATACATTAGTCTGGTTTTTTCCATTGGAATCCCAATGTCCTCTATGTAGATCCTACTTCAAAGACGCACACATAAAATTAAAGTTCAGAATTTTTCTGAGAATATTTTGAGTTTAGGAGTCTTCAGAACTGAACTCAATTTTCCTTGTAGAATTCTTACTCATATGAAGCTTTCTGTGCTTTAGCAGCCTGTTTTTAGTTGAAAAATGAGAAATGTTGCTGGTACCATTAAGCAATTTAACCTCTTTCAGGTCACCCAGACGTCTATACTAGTCTACATTCTTACGTTTTTTTTCTTTTCACCCTTGTATAGACCACATCTTATTCTGCCAGAATAGTATTAAATGTTCAGTCTTTGTTCAGTATTCAGTCTTCTTCAGATGCAATTCCTTCTTTTTCCTGTAGCACTTTGTCTGTTATAAAGCCAGAGATTGGACTTAATCAAGATACAGAAAGTTTCCTGTGCACTTTGAGTTAGAGACATTAGATTATCTGGGAAGGGACAGATATCACTGCAGTTCAAACATTTTACAGCCAAAGTTAATGGTATAGTCACTTGTGCAGTTCTTTTCATATTTACTATAGAATACTGACGCACTTGGGTGTTTATGAAGCAGTTAAGACCTTTTTTGGTTTAACAGGCCTATAGGGTCTCCAGGGGAATAGCGTATATAATTTCGCTGTTCTCTAATGACTGTGTATTTGTTGAGTTGTTTTCAATAATTTATGTTCTTAATATTGTGTTCAATAAGCCACTCAGAATCAGTTTAATATTGGAGTGGCATATAAGCCTAAAATAAATCTTCTGCTACTTGGGGCCAGTGTGGAATGCATAAACCATGCCCAGTTGCCCAGTTCAGATTTAAATTAATATTATGAGAAAGAGAATATCTATAGCTCAGGTGTGGCATGTTGTATTGTTGAAATTCTTGCAGCTCATTTTGGGGGTGTAGACATTTTATTACCGTGCTAGGTAGCATAATCAATGCAGGAATTTTAGAGAAGTGACCTTCATTGTTTGGTGCATTTGTATATTCTTATTATCTTGTCTACTTTGTCTGTTCTTAGACAGAAAAATTCTGTGGGTGCTTTTTTTTTTTTTTTTTTTGCAAGTGGCTGATGCCTTGTTGGTAATAGATTATTTGACTGATAAGGTGGAAATTCTGTCTTTCATTTGTGTTTTGGTGGTTTCCTGTGTGATCAGTAATATTGATAACCTTTTCAGGGATAACACATTTGGAGGATGCTATTCTTTCTCTGCCATTAAATTTTAGTTGTATTAGGTTATTAGCTTGATAAGGAGATACAGTAGCTATAGTTTATTTAGGTATCACTTGATTGTTTGAGAAGAAGATGGAGCATTATAAGTTGAGCTAATTGCTAAAATTGGGTCTTTGATCGTTGTGTAGCTATAGGAAGGGTTTAACCCTATATGCCTGTTAATTACAGCTTGCTGTTGCAATTTGAAAGCAGAATCAATAGGTTTGATTTAAAAAATATTATAATGGAAATTTCTATGTATAATTAAGTTTAGACCTCATTTTGTGAGGCAGTTTTTTTTTTTAAACAACACATCCTAAGATTCGGCTTAAGTGTCTTGCAGTGGCACTAGAACCACATTATATACTTTCATCATATTTTAAAATGTAGGGTTTGGTTAATATACTCTGCTTCAGATGATTTTTAACCTAGCAAGAATCAGTTTTCTTTTCTCTGAGACATTTAGAATAACTTTTTGATTGTACTCTTCTACCTTGCCTTTATGTTACTGAAGATACAGCTTAAGTAAAAGGATCTAAAATTGGCTCGTGTATTTATTTATTTTAATTAATCCTTCCCTTATTATTTTTATAAGTAACTCAAGATGGCGAACACAGATACTCCTTCCTTCTATTTTCTCCACAGCAACAAGTGAAGGGGGTTCGGCTGAGAGAGAGTGATGGCCCAAGGTCATCCATTGGCTTCCATGCCTAAGGCAGGACTACAATTCACAGTAGCTATAGTTTATTTAGGTATCACTTGATTGTTTGAGAAGAAGATGGAGCATTATAAGTTGAGCTAATTGCTAAAATTGGGTCTTTGATCATTGTGTAGGCTATAGGAAGGGTTTAACCCTATATGCCTGTTAATTACAGCTTGCTGTTGCAATTTGAAAGCAGAATCAATAGGTTTGATTTAAAAAAATATTATAATGGAAATTTCTATGTATAATTAAGTTTAGACCTCATTTTGTGAGGCAGTTTTTTTTTTTTTAAAACAACACATCCTAAGATTCGGCTTAAGTGTCTTGCAGTGGCACTAGAACCACATTATATACTTTCATCATATTTTAAAATGTAGGGTTTGGTTAATATACTCTGCTTCAGATGATTTTTAACCTAGCAAGAATCAGTTTTCTTTTCTCTGAGACATTTAGAATAACTTTTTGATTGTACTCTTCTACCTTGCCTTTATGTTACTGAAGATACAGCTTAAGTAAAAGGATCTAAAATTGGCTCGTGTATTTATTTATTTTAATTAATCCTTCCTTTATTATTTTTATAAGTAACTCAAGATGGCGAACACAGATACTCCTTCCTTCTATTTTCTCCACAGCAACAAGTGAAGGGGGTTCGGCTGAGAGAGAGTGATGGCCCAAGGTCATCCATTGGCTTCCATGCCTAAGGCAGGACTACAATTCACAGTCTCCTGGTTTCTAGAAAATTCATATTTTAAATAGATAATGCAATCTGCTATCTGCATAACAAATGAGTGTCCTGCTTATCCTCTAAGGCAGGGGTCCCCAATCTCCAGGCCATGGACTGGTACTGGTCCATGGCCTGTAAGGAACCAGGCTGCAAAGCTGGAGGTGAACGGCGGGTGAGCGAGTGAAACTGAAACCATCTCCCCTCCCCTGGTCTGTGGCAAAATTGTCTTCCAGGTAACCGGTCCCTGGTGCCAAAAAAGATTGGGGTCTGCTGCTCTAAGACAGTGACAGATGCAGTAAATGTTTGTGCGCCAGGTGGTCACCTACAATGCAAACCTATGGTGAAAACACTGTTCTAGCTTTTCATAATTTTGGCTCAGATGAAGTTAATACAACACATGCAACAGCCTTCTTCAAATCTGTTATAATTTAATGTCTTTCTGTAACTCATCCGTTCATCTGTTTGCCATATGAAATTAAGTAAAACAAAAAGTTGGCAGTTGATTTATCAATTGCTTGTTTACTCAGAGGCAAACCCTACTTGGTAGTCAAGTTGATCTTTTGGTTCTTTATAGGTCTGTTATTCTTAGTGAGTTTAGCATCTAACTAAAGGAGAGCCACTCTGCTCCTTTAAAAAGAAAGGCATCATTTCCCCTCTCATCCTTTCCTTCCCCTTGCTCTTCTCCTATCTTCTGCTGCCAACCTTAGCTGTTCTTGAAAAGCTGAAACATAACTTGGTTGATACTTGGGATTCCATGGCTGTAGGCTAGAAAGCAATGGCAAACCACTTTGGTATTGTTGCCAAGACGACTACATGAAGGGAGCCATACAGTTTTCTTAGTTTTTTTATTCCTTTCTGTAAGCAGAATTCCAAGTATACCACATAGCAGAAAGCTCAGGAATGGGTAGTGTTCATTATAAATATGGTGTCTTCTGTATAATCAAGCTCAGCAAAGACCAGAGAGAATCTGAGTTGTGACCTGGCAATCTGTTAATCAGTTTCTCAATGCAGAACATTAGAATGACTGAAATTCAGAATCAACCCTCTTGTTTTCATCCATTAAATTAAAGTCAATCAGTGTTGATGCTTGAGAACAAAAACAATTATGTCTAAAAAAGAACAGCAGACAAATTATATGATAAAG